AGGCTGATGCCACCACCGTGTCCAGCGTGGCACCTGAGTTGTTGGGGCAGGGAACGTCTCGGACGCCAGGGAACACTGGGCTTTAACCCTTTGATCCTGACGTTACTGCCAAGACACCACCACCCTGGCTTGGTGCTTGACCCAACATGGGTCATGGAGGACACCCTGGCACCAGAAGGCAGACCAGCCCCGGACCTGGCCATCTCTGAAGTACATGCGATGAAGAGGTTCCACAGTGGTGGGCACGACCTTGCTCGTCTCACCAAGCCGCCCCAGGACACGGATCGCCAACTCCTGCCCTGCACTGGGCGAGGGTTCCTCTTCCAGTGCCATGAGGTCCATGAAGGGGTGACCTGCAGGGGTGCCAGGTTAGGGGCTAGTGCGTGCGTGGGACATCGGGGACAGGGTTATGGAGCAGGAGAGCGGGGGGAGATGCAGGGCAAGGGGGCAGCACCGGGGCAAGGATCTCCCAACTCACCAGCAGTGTCATAGAGCCGATAGATCGTCTTTGCCCCGGGGATTGTCATCTTCTCCTCATCCTCTGTGAGCTTCAGGCATGGGGAGCCGTTGACCTCCACCAGCTGTAGGAGAAGGAGGTTAAAGGGCTGACACTGGTGCTGAAGACTGGGTTGAGTTCTGTGTCCTCTCTCTGTGTCCCCAGGGGCTGGGGAGGCTACTGATGCAAAGCTGCTGAATAAATCATTAAAAAAAACCCAACCCTCAAAGCAGCCTGAAGTTGGATATCCTGCCTCCTCCTGCCTGCAAGCTTCTTGTTACATGGTCTCAACAAGGACACCTCCTTCAAGGAGGATGTAGATGATGGGATTGAGTGCACCCTCAGCAAATTTGCTGATGACACTGAGCTGTGTGCGTCGGTCAATATGCTGGAGGGGAGGTAGGCCATCCAGAGCGACCTGGCCAGGCTGGAGAGGTGGGCCCATGCGAACCTCATGAAGTTCAACAAGGCCAAGTGTGTACACGTGGGTCGGGACAGCCTGTGGAGAAGGACCTGGGGAACCTTGGTGGGCAAAGAATTAGACATGACCCAGCAATGTACGCTCACAATCATCTCCCGGGCTGCATCCAGAGCAGCGTGGCCAGCATGTGCAAGGAGGGGATTCTCCTCCTCTACTCCCTTCTGCTGAGACCCCACCTGCAGCGCTGCGTCCAGCTCTGGGATGTAAGAAAGACGTGGACCTGCTGGAGTGGGTCAAGATGAAGCCATGAAGATGCTCAAGGGGCTGGAGCACCTCTGCTATGGAGAAAGGCTGAGAGAGTTGGGGTTCAGCCTGAAGAAGGCTCCAGAGACCTTCTTGTGGTCTTTTGATATAGAAATGGGGCCTGTAAGATGGGGAGAGACTTTTTACCGGGCAACAGGACGAGGGGTGATGGTTTCAAACTGAAAGAGGGGAGATTTAGATGAGATATTAGGAAGAAATTCTTCCCTGTGAGGGTGGTGAGACACTGGATCAGGTTGCCCAGAGCAGCTGTGGCTGCCCCCTCCCTGGCAGTGCTCAAGGCCAGGATAGATGGGGCTGGGAGCAACCTGGTCTAGTGGAAAGTGTCCCTGCCCATGGCAGGGGGGGTGGGCTAGATGGGGG